TTTTTTTTTTTTTTAAGACAAAGTATTGCACTGTCTTCCAGGCTGGAGTGTAGTAGCGTGATTTTGGCTCATTGCAACTTCCGCATCCCTGGTTCAGGCTATCCTCTTGCTTCAGCTTCCCAAGTAGCTGAGATTATAGGCGCCCGCCGCCACGCCTGACTAATTTTTTTGCATTTTTAGTAGAGACAGGGTTTCACTATATTGGCCAGGCTTCTGACCTCGTGATCCACTCACCTCAGTCTCGCAAAGTGCGGGGATTACAGGTTTGAGCCACTGCGCCCAGCCCTAAGACAATTTTTTAAAAATTTGAGATGGGCTCACTCTGTTGCCCAGGCTAGAGAGCAGTGGCATGTTCATAGCTCGCCGCAGCTTTCAACACCTGGGTTCAATCAATTCTACTGCCCCAGCCTCCCAGATGGCTAGGACTATAGGCATGCATCACCATGCCCAGCTAATATATTTTTATTTTTTGTAAAGAATAGGGTCTAATTGTATTGCCCAGTTCAGGCTGGCTTTGAACTCCTGGCCTCAAGCAATTCTCCTACCTCAGCCTCCCAAAGCACTGAGATTACAGGTGTGGGGTTACTGTGCCTAGCCAGTTTTCTAATTTTCTTGAAATCATATATTTTTTTTTAAATAAAGATGAAGTCTCACTATGTTGACTGGGCTGATCTTAAACTTTTGGCTTCAAGTGATCCCTCCATCCTTGGCCTTCCAAAGTGCTGGGATAATAGGCATGAGCCATTGTGCCCAGCCTAGTTTTCCAACTTATTATTATTATTATTATTATTTTGGAGATGGGGATTTTACCCTATTGCCCAGGCTGGAGTGCAGTGGTGCGATGTCAGCTCACTGCAATCTCCACCTCCCAGGCTCAAGAGATCCTCTCACCTCAGCCTCCCCAGTAGCTGGGACCACAGGCACATACTACCATACCTGGCTAATGTTTTGAATTTTTTGTGGAGATGGGGTTTCACCCTGTTGCCCAGGCTTGTCTCAAACTCTTGAGCTGAAGCTTTTCTAATTTTTTAAAGCCTAAACAGACTTATTTTTCTTCTTTCCCTTTCCGAAGATATTATCTGCACTTATGCCTATTTTTTCAGGCACTTGTCTTTCTGTTAATAATGCAACAAAATCTGTTCTTTCTCTCTTCCTCTTCCATCTGTCTAATTTCTCAGCGTCCTTAGAGGACCCACGCATTGAAACCCACTCGTCTGTCAGCAGTTAGGAGAATTTGAGAAATGTTTTTCCCTTTGATATTCCTTAAATGGGATCTAGATTTGAGTATGTAATCTCTATGGAAATCCTCTGTATTTGATGATGGGATGTTGCACCTGTGCTACTATAACCACTGTGTATTAAAAAAAAAAATGCTTTTCTGTGACAGAATGGTGCAGATGTGAATGCCAAGGACATGCTGAAGATGACAGCTTTACACTGGGCCACAGAGCGCCACCATCGAGATGTCGTAGAGTTACTTATCAAATATGGAGCTGATGTCCATGCTTTCAGCAAATTTGATAAATCTGCCTTTGACATAGCTCTGGAGAAAAACAGTGCTGAGATTTTGGTCATCCTCCAGGTGTGGTTCTTTTTATACTCTTTTATACTCTCCAGCTTATACTTCAATTGAAGTTAAGGATTTTTTTTGTAGGAATTGAATCAAAACTTAATTTTTCCTATCTTCTTAAAATAGTACTTCTAATATGTCTCAATCTTGTGATTCAGTGTCATTAGTATCTTTAAAATACACGTGTATGCCAGGCACAGTAGCACATGCCTGTAATCCCAGCACTTTGGGAGGCCAAGGCAGGTGGATCATGAGGTCAGGAGTTCGAGACCAGCTTGACCAACATAGTGAAACCTCACCTCTACTAAAAATACAAAAAATTAGTTGGATGTGGTGGCTCATGCCTGTAATCGCAGCTACTTGGGAGGCTGAGGCAAGAGAATTGCCTGAACCCAGGAGGCGGAGGTTGCAGTGAGCTACGATTGCACCACTGCACACCATCCCCAGCGACAATGTGAGACTCTGTCTCAGAAAAAAAAAAAAAAGAGGAAGAAAAGGCCAGGCGAGGCGGCTCATGCCTGTAATCCCAGCACTTTGAGAGACCAAGGCAGGCGGATCACCTGAGGTTGAGAATTCTAGACCAACCTAACATGGAGAAACCCCATCTCTACTAAAAATACACAAATTAGCTGGGCATGGTGGTACATGCCTGTAATCCCAGCTACTTGGGAGGCTGAGGCAGGAGAATCACTTGAACCTGGGAGGTGGATATTGCAGTTAGCCGAAATCACACCATTGCACTCCAGCCTGGCCAACGAGAGCGAGACGCCATCTCAAAAAAAAAGACAGAACAAAAGCAAAAAAAATACATATATATGTGTGTGTGTATATATATATATATATATTCTATAAAGCCCTGAATTATTCATGGTGATTAAAGACCCATGTTGTGGCTAGTACTAAAAATGTTTATTTGTCTTTAGAATGTTTTTTTCTCCATGAAAATTTCCTTTTCTAATTAAACTTGACTTGGGAAAATATTAAAAGCTACTCTATGTTTTCTGAATATTCATCAACTGATGTGAGACAGTATATAGATGCTCCCTGATAGGATTACATTGGATGCAGATGTAACCCCATAATAAGTCAGATCACTTTCACACCATGGCAAAGCTGGAAAACTGTTGAACCCCTTTATAAATTGGGGACCATCTATGAAGCTCTAAAGCATATTGAGTGACAAGGAAACCACTTCAGAATTTAAAATTAACTGTAATGATTTTGTCCTGTTTTGTTTTGTTTTGTTTTGTTTTGTTTTTTGTGTGGCAGAGTCTCACTCTTTTGCCCAGGTTGGAGTACAGTGGCATGATCTCAACTCACTGCAGCCTTGATTTCCTGGGTTCAAGGGATTCTTCCACCTTAGCCTCCCAAGCAGCTGGGACAACAGGTGCACACCACCATGCCCAGCTTATTATTATTATTATTATTATTTTTGAGATGGAGTCTTGCTTTGTTGCCCAGGCTGGAGTGCAGTGGCAAGATCTTGACTTAGGGCAACCTCTGCATCCTGGGTTTAAGCGATTCTCCTGTGTCAGCCTCCCGAGTAGCTTGGACTACAGGCTCATGCCACCATACCCAGCTAATTTTTGTATTCTTAGTAGAGACAGGGTCTCACTATGTTGGCCAGACTGGTCTCAAACTCCTGACCTCATGATCTGTCTGCCTCAGCCTCCCAAAGTGCTGAGATTACAGGTGCATACCACTGTGCCTGGCCTGTCCGTTAATTTCTTAAAACAGGGAACAATAGGACAGGGAATATAAAAATTAATAGGACATGGGCCAGGCGCGGTGGCTCACACCTATAATCCCAGCACTTTGGGAGGCCGAGGCAGGTGGATCACCTGAGGTCAGCAGTTGGACCAGCCTGTCCAATATGGTGAAACCCTGTCTCTACTAAAACTACAAAAACAATGAGCCAGGCATGGTGGCACGCACTTGTATTCCCAGCTACTCAGGAAGCTGAGGCAGGAGAGTCACTTGAACCTGGAGGCAGAGATTACGGTGAGCTGAGATGACACCATTGCACTCCAGCATGGCAGACAAGAGCGAGACTGAGTGTTTAAAAAAAAAAAAAAAGGGACATGAAGTGTTCACAGCATGATAAAAATTAAGACAGGAAATAAAATATTTAACTGCATGTTAAATAGATAACTTATAAGTGCTATGGGAGCACAAAGAAGGGAATAGTAGAATTTGAACTGAATATTGAAGTAGGCAGAGAAGTGAGAAAACTGTATTCTAGGCTAGAAAAAGAGCAAATCAAAGACAGGTGTGAAAGAACGTGGAATGTTCAAGAAAAAGCAGTTGAGTGATGAGAGAATGGGCAAAGGAAGTAGAGTTTGGGAGTGGCAGATGCTAAGCTTGAAAGTTAGGCTGGATTCTGAACATAGAGGTGTTACACAGCATGCGCAGGAGTTTGAATTGTCATGTGGGTGATGGATTTGGATAGAAGTTTTTAAATAGAGGACTGATATGATTAAATTTATTATAAAAAGATGATTCTGGCCGGGCGTGGTGGCTCACGCCTATAATCCTAGCACTTTGGAAGGCTGAGGTGGGTGGATCACCCGAGGTCAGGAGTTCAAGACCAGCCTGGCCATCATGGTGAAACCCCATCT